TCAGGAGAATCAGCTGCAGTCGGGGAGTCATTTCTCAGAGGTTCTGCTCACACATTCTGGGGAGTCATTGGGCCAAGCTGGCATGGCACTTGGCCAAACCCTTCAAGTGTCCCTTTGTGATCCAGAAGAAGACAGGATCACACCCTAAGTGGAGATAGGACAGGCTGGTTACTGTCAAAGGTGCCCTTGCACCTTCTCCTGCCACACATGGGTCTGCCAGACCTAGAGCACCTGATCTGTTTGGCCTGAGTAGACACACAGCCAGATGACCCCCCACCCCTGCCAGGGTTACTGCAGTGACAGCAATCCCAGGAGAAGGGGTAGCTAGCCCCATGGGAGTTGGAGCATCCACCTTCATTGGGTTTAAGGCCAAAAGACCTGAGCCCTAGCTCCAACTTCCAGCATCTACCCTCACTGTCCCTCTCCTGAGATGCCTCTAGCGCCTGCTTTGAGGGTTTGCTCTGAAGGTCAAGGCCCAGGCCAGTCACAGCCATTCGGTGCCTTTGAACAATCCTAAGTGTTCCCAAGACCTTTTCTGAGGAGCCCCTGGGATACCCTGAACCCCATTCCAGAGACAAGTTACAGGGGAAATCTGGGGTTCTTGTGCATGAGTGGCCTTGACTCCACCCCTGGGTCCTGAAGGAAGCTCTGTGGGGGCTGTGGAAACAGGCAGAGGGGTTAGAGCCTGGTCTGGGCTCTCACCAGCCTCTCCTACTGACTCCAACTGACTTCACACCTGCCTTGGTGTATGTTGGGGAGGGTGGCTTATACCTAGAGACCCTACTCAACTCATCTCCGAGTACTCTGTCCAGCCAGTCCTCAGGACTCTATGTAGGGGAAGAGACAGGAAGACGAAGACTGGATGGAAGGAGGCGTTTCCTTGGACAAAGCAGACTTCTAGAGACGGCTTCACTGGCCAAGACCTGTTGATCTCACAGGTTTTGTGGGACCAGGGACAGGCAAGCCCCCATGGGTCCTCCTAAGGAGGACACATCACTCCTCGTGACTTTTCCTGTCTTTGAGAGAAGAGGTCAGCAAGCATGAGCAGCCATTAGAGACAGCACAGGCTGTGGGGGGCTCCAGGCTAGACAGTACTGGCCAGGAATGGTTGGGGGCTGGGAGGTCTCACAAGAGCTGTTTAAGGAGGGAGAGACACAGCCAAGGCCAGGCCCAGTCACTAGGATCAGTGACCCCCGAAGACCCTCACTCTATTGGGGGCACTACTCCAAGTGCCCCCTACTGATTTATGGTCCTCCCGGGGGAACTGAAGTTTGCAGCAGAGGCCTGGCTCACCACCCCCAGTTAGGGTCAGTAGGGTGGGGACGGCTCTCAGCTGGTTTCCAGATGGGGTTTATGGAAAGGGTACCTGGGGAGCTCAGACACCCCAGCAAGGACTGGCTGGTGTCAGCCGGCCTCCTGCTCTATCCTGTCTCCTGTCTCTGTTCCAGGCCGTGTCTCTGTGATACACAGCTCCTGCAGCCCTTCTTGCCCACCAGTTAGCCCTGGGTGGGTGGGAGTGGGAGCTGGTGATTTATCACTAGCCGCCTGTCTTCCATCGGAAACGCTGGGGGTGGGCGCAGACACTGCGGTGAGCTATGGGCCACCCACCCCAATGTTGTTGCTCTGTCTGGGCAGCGGGTGCGGGCCTCCCCCCCTTTACGTGGCCTAGTCTGGGGACCCCCACACCTTTCCCAGGGCCTCCTCTTTGTGGTGGCCTCAAGCAGACCAGAAAAGCTCTGAGGTTTCTTCAGGCTATGGAAGACTTGTGGAGAACCCCAATGCTACCTGAGTCACCAGATGACTTAGAGATGACTGACTGAGGTTCTTTTTCTAAATCGTTGAGCTTCCCCTCATCATCCCTGCTAGAAACGGCGGGAGTCCTGCACCCGCTGTGCTGTCATCAGCCCCGCTCCCTCGCAACATACACAGCGGGGGGCCAATGAATGTTTACGGAGCAAACATGGGTGGGGGGCGCACCTGGACTGGTCCACGTCCTTCCCGCCAGGCGGAAGAAATCCTTATCTTTGCGGTTGACCGGCTGTCAGTGTGCCAAAGGATAGGAGGAAGGGGGCCTGCACTCATCTTCTCCGCGTCTGTCAGCGGCCTCGCAGCGCCCTCCTCTCCATCCCCCGAGGGAATGACCTGCCAACCCCTCTCAGTGCAGTTTCGGCAGCCTGGACGGTCCCTTGCTCTCTAGGTGAACTTCCTGGGCATCCTTAAGAGTTCACCCAGGCCTGCACGCTGCGTGCTGAGCGCTGCGTCTTTTGCGGATCGCTAGCGCCCTCTGGTGTCAGTCTGGGTCATGGTGCTTGAGGGGAAGATAGGGCTCGACAATAGGCAGTTAAATAAATAGGGCCACAGGCCCAACCTCCCGCTGCACGCGTCTATTTCACATTGAGAAAGATGCTCTCTGCGGGAGGTCACCGCGCAGCCTCTGCCTAGGTTGGTGGCCTTGAATGGCCTTACTGAGACTCCATCTACTCAGTTCCTTGGTCAGTCGTTGACTGGCTGGCAGCACAGTGACTTGACCTCTCTAAATGCACCTCTGTGCCCGGTGTTAGACTAGCTGAGGCTGGGAATCCCTCAGTTTGAATGAAGTCTTGGGTAAGCACGGAGGTCACAGGAGAGAGGGCAGATCCACTCCGGTGGGCAAAGGTGTGATGGGTGCAGCTAGTTGGACAGGGGCACAATGTCTGGGCCTTGGGAGACCAAGGGATGGGTGGGCAGTGTGGTGTAGTCACCCCTGACTTCCTGAGCGCCAAAGGAAGGGCCCAGAATCAGCCAGCTGGGGTCTGTATGTGTGTAGCAGTACTTTATAGGCCTTTGAGAAGGGCCTGTGACTTATGTTCACCTGGAAAGAGTCCCAGACCACAGAGGGGACAGGCTGGTGACTGGGGAGGAGACTGCAGGGCAGGTGTGTTGTCTCTGAAGTGGATGACAATGCTGGAGGCTGGGCTGAGGAGGAGGTGTGTGCATTCAGGAGCACTGAGCTGGGACCATCCACTTCCCCACACTTGTTGGAGGCTGAGACCCCAGGCTAAGCACGTGGAGGGTCAGCTTAAGGTCAGGAGTTAGAATTGGAGAACTTTCCAGGCCAATAGGAGGGCCAGCCATTGAGGCCAGGCTGGCGTCTTGACACCAGCCAGTTGAGACCACAGAGGGTCCATCAAGAGGGGTCTCCTGGAGAAATGATGGGTACAGTTGCCCCATTAACCATGCAGCAAGAGGTCCATCCTTCTGTCTGAACACACTGTGTTTCTTCACCAGCAGAGTTCTTGCTTTTGTGGCAACTGTCCTTCAGGATTTCAAAACCCATCCTCTCAGCAAGACCCTGGTCCTGGAGTCTTCAAGCCCTGTGAGCAGTGTGCACTGAGCCTGGGCTCCTTCCTAGGGCTCCTGCTAGGACACATCCTATTGTCCAGGGTTATGTTCTTCTTAGCGTGGAGACATTTTGGGGTCTTTGGTCACTTTCTCCTAGGCACCAAAACTGCCCCCTAAGGGTTCTAAGTGAGAAGGAGAGAGGAACCCCAGGAAGCTTGTCTCAGTTCTGCCCTATCCCAGCCACAGGGAAGGATGGAAGCAGGAGAGATTCTTAAAGACCTGGCTTGCTCCTCTGAAAAACAGAAGGAACACCCCTTCCCCACACTGCATTCAACTGACTTTAAGGTGTTATCTGTGTGCCTCAACCAGGGGTTCTGAGGGTGACAGGCCACCCCTGGGGAGGGTGAACAAAGAGGACACTGTCCCCTGATGCGGTGATAAGGCCGGATAGACAGCACACAGCTCTCTGCAGCCCACAATGGGCCGGATGCCCTGCACCTGCCCACAAAGGAAGGGACGGCTTATGCCTCGCTGTGACTGGCAGCCTCTAGATAGAATCAGCCTACTGGAGGGTCATCTGTCTTGTCCCACAAAGGCCAGGACAAAGGCCATGTCAGCTACAGCCTCCCCGACCTGGTCAGTGGCGGTTAGAGGAGGCTCAGTGCTTTCCTGTGCCCAGACCCAAGGCTCTTCATGAAGATCATCAGGAACAAAAGCTTCCGTTATTTATAGAGGCAACCAGGTGGGACCCCTGAGCCTGGTACCTCTAGGGAGGAAGGTGCCATTCTGCTCATTTGGGCACCCAGACAGGAACCAGACCACCTGGTTTTCCTGCTCCAGAGTGGGAGGCAGACAGTGGGAAACCAGGAAATGGAGTGCTCCTTGTTGTCCCGAGCAGAGCAGTGGAGGAGGAGACTTGTGAGCTGTGAAGGGATGCGAAGGGAACCCTGGGCCCAGCTAGGAATAATATATGTTAAGGTCTAGGCAGGAGGCAGGCAGGTGTGCCACAGCTGGCCAGCAGCTGGGCAGTCATGGAGGGAGGCAGAGACTGGGGTAACCTGTGCTGTGAGGGAGAGCTGAGGCTGCTGCGGCTTGGTGGGCAGGGATGGGAACACTTGGAGGGTCCAGGGGTATGGGAGGAGACCTGGCTCACTCCAGGCTATGTTTCAGAGAACTCATACCTACAGGCCCTTACATCATGTCTCTGTAACCTGGCCTTGCCTATCCTTCCAGAGCCAACTCCCCACTGAGATGGCCCATAGAGTTCCAGTGGATCACAAACCACAGTCACCCGTCTTCGAGTCATCCCAACCTCCCTCCGTCTCTGGGTGCTCTTATAGCTGTCCACACAGTGGGCTCACTGGCCAGGCACACCTCAACTTCCAAGCTGTCCTTGAAAGTTCTCATGGCCCTGGCTTCCCACAAGAATCTCTCCTCTAAGCTGCCCGCCTGTACTGTTTCAAGCTTCCTCAGTGCCAGAGGGACCTCTCTGTCCACAGCATCGTCACTGCCAATGACCTCAAAGACAGCTGGGTAAAGGGAATTTTAACCAGCGGCTTCTGTTTGCCCTATGCCAGTTTGGCAGTGCATGAAAAAAACGTCCCCTTGAACAACTTCCTCCCCCAGGCCCTTTCTGGAATTTGGCAAGATCAGGTGGTACAGAACCGCCAGATGGAGAGGAGAAAGGTTTATTCAGTGCAGAGTCTGGCAGGGGGAGACCTCCCTAGGCTCTGAAGGCTCAGGGATGTTTCACTCCAGTAGTGCTGGCAACAGTTTGGCCCCACGTGGATTCAGGCCTGCCGAGTTTGGGTCTGGAAGATTGGGCAAGGGCAGAGGCCGAGGCAAATCCAGGTGAAGGAGAGGATTCTCCAGCAAGGGACCTGTAAAGTTTGCAGGTCGTTTGTTGCTCTGCGCCTGTCCTTTCTTAGGATGTCTGCTCGTCCACCAGCGGGTCTGTGAGCGATAACTCGCGGAAGGCGCGGGCGCGCTCACGCGCACGCAACCTCCGCAGGCGACCCAGTAGGAGCACTAGCAGCAGTGCATGTAGCAGCCCGAGGACCAGCAGCGCGAGCTGTGCCACCAGAGACCCCCAGCAGAGCAGGCCGGGCGCGCACGCTGCCCGCAGCTCGTCCTCTGCCACGTAGGGCAGCAAGCGGCCACGCAGCGCTGGAGGCGCAACACAGCGCAGGTCGCGGTAGGGCGCGCGTTCGGGGCGGCCAGCCAGCCAGGCGCGCAGCGGCAGTAAGCGGCAGTCGCAGCGCCAGGGGTTGGCGCCCAGGTGCACTACACGCAGAGCAGGGAGCGCATCCAGAAGCCCAGGCGGCAGTGCGGTCAAGTTGTTGCTGGTCAGCACCAGTTCGGTGGTGTCGGGAGGGAAGGCAGCGGGCAGCGAGGCCCAGGTCAGTCCGCGGCGCCCACAGTCCACGAGCGTCCCTGCGCAGCTGCACGGCGCTGGGCAGCCTGCGACTGGGAGGCTGGGCCGCGCTAGCAGCAGAAGCAGCAGGCTCAGCGCTCCGCGCGGCCCTAAAAGAGAAGCGCTGGGATGAGCCGCGAGCATCACCGGGACCGCCGGCGTTGTTCCCTCCAGCTCCTAAGTCCAGCATCCCGCGAATCCGCAGGCGCCTCCACCCCGGCCACCCTACATGCTGGCTAATGTTTCCCTCCAAGTCTGACCCAAACCTTTGCCTGTTGCTGCCCAAACAGAACACCTGATGTGGCTCTCTGTCCAGCAAGCTGCAGACCCAACCCCAGAACTCACAGGAGCCCATGGCGAAAGGACGGCAGCCTAGTTCGTTCTGGAGTGGCGATGGCCCGAGACTGCAACAGACCACAATTCTGCCACCAGGCCAGAAATAACTCTGAGCCGGCGCGCAAGGGCGTTGTGGCAACAGATATGGTACTATCGCCAGGGCCCCGCAGGCAGACCGGGCTTCCGCCCCCGCCCGCTCCCTGGGGCTCATGAAACACTCGGACACTCGCTGCGACGTTCACCAACTTTGTTCTCCTGTCACCAGGACAGGACGCGGCATTCACAACTAAACAAAAACGGAGAATGGGGTGTGTGGGGAGGGGTCATGCGGGTGGACAGATGGAGGAGGCCAAGGGCTGGAATCCCAGCACAACAGAGCTGCTGGGAGGAGGAGAACTTGACCTATAGGTAGATGAAAGTAGTCTAGGCATAGGGTACACCCCGTTCCAACAGCCCCTGGAGTCCTTTAGGTCGACCCAGGAAGGGGCGTGAGCGGTCTAGCGCAACACATCCCCCTCCTTCCTCCTAGACGCTTCTAGGTCTGGGGTCTTCCTAAAGGCCTCAGCCTCCAAACCCGTGTGCTCTGGTCCTGAACAGAGCGTGGTTAAAGAGTGAGGAAGGACCGAGCCTACTTCCGCACACAGTGGGACATTAGCATATGCTTTGTAGCCCACTGGAACCCGCAGAGGGGGCCTCCCAATTCCATTCTGCGGTATTATCTTGGGTAACAGGCCCAAGACCCTGCATCCACGACCCTCCTCTACCCTGGTTTATAGGCCGCTGGGGCAGTGATCTTTTAGGAAGAGAGATCTTGGAGATTATACACAACTTGTTCCCTTTAGACGAGCGGGAGGTGCGCACGGGGGCGGGGGCGGCAGGATGTTGGGGAGGGGCTGTGGTTCAGACCACTCAGAAGCAGATACCAACGACCGGGAAGGGTGGATGCTGAGAATAAATTAGGGTCATCTGGGGGCTGTGGCTCCGTGGCTCCAGGTCTGAACAGTTTGGTCAAAGCCACTTTGGGTTAGGGCTAGGTCCAGGCTGTCTGAGATCCAGATGAACCCAGGGTAGAATCCAGGACAGTCTGGGATCCAGGGATAGGAGGAGCCAGCCCGGAAACCAGCCATCTATCCTTGGCGATGTGGGGCTGGGGCCGGGTGTCACTGGTCTTGCATTTGCTGCTTCATCTTCTGCAACATCTCCTGCATGCGCCTTAGCTGGTAGGTGGGGACGACCCAAGTCAGAGTGAGAAAAGACCGGAGAGGTCTAGCCCCGCCCTCTGCTTCTTCTTCCTACCCTCACTCGCAATCATGGCTCCCTCTACATATACCTCTTCGTCCTTCATCCTGATGAGCTTCTCTGTCTCTGCGTCCGGGGTGGGCAGTGGGAGGATAGGGATGGGGCTCTCCATCCGGCTGTCCTGTGTGAGTTTGCTGTGAAGCGAGAGGGCTGAGCTGTTGGGAGGTTCAGGTTAGGAGGATAGGAGAGGCCTGTCGGGTTCCTGCCAATATCAAGACCAGTGCTGGCCTGATTTAGGGATTAGGACAAAGTTCTGGTGCCTGTTGGGCAGGGCGGCCCACCTGGTCATCTGCTGGATGCAGTGGGCACGGTAGTTCTCGTAGTGCACATCACAGGTCACATCCTTCAGGTCATGCATATGAGTTCGGATTAGCATGTTCCGAAGCTTCACAAAATCGCAGTGCGCCTGATTCTCCACTGTGGGGCAGGAGCGGACAAGGGGTAGGCCTCAGCCTAGGGGAATCTCCTTCTCCGCACCCAGTGCCCCTTGCCTCAACTCACCTTCGACGATCCCCCAGGGGTACAGTCGTCCCCGGACCCGCTGCCCCTTCGCCTCCACCACAGTGTTGCTGCCGATAACAGCGAAGGGCGCACTTTCCTGGGGAAGGGGAGCAAGGACCCAGCCCAGCCCGGAATTGTAAGAACTAGCTCAGAGGCTGAGGGGGAGTGGCCATCCCGGCACTGCCACCATCTCCCTCCCAACCCGCACAGTTCCTCTTCTGGTGCCTCTACTACCCTCTAAAGCCACAAACTCTGCATAGCTCAAAGCCTTGGGGCTTCTGCCAGGCTGTGCATTTCTCTGGCTCCGGATGCTTCCCGGAGTTTCCTCCATTTTTCAAGTCAGAGCAAAGACCATGCTTACTGGTGGATGGTCCTGCCTGTCTGCTCCTGGCCCAGTGGCCCCTAGTTTCTGGCTTAGCTTTCAGTCATTACCTTCCTAGCCTCTGAGGTATTCAAAGCAACCGCCCTCCGGAGCTCAGAATCTTAGAAACTAGGGCTTTATACAGCTCTGAGCCACTGTGCTGATTCTTGGAAAGCAGGCCAGAATGGCACCAATAAGTGTATAGTAAGCACCCAGGGGAGGTCCAAGTGATCCATCACAAACTAGACAGAGGTGCAAGGGACCCTTCTCCTGTATATGTACAGCCCTTGTGGCAGGGGGTGTAGTCCCTCTTCTCTGTGAACAAACGATTCCCGCCTTGATCATGTTGGACCTGGGGTCTGGGCGGCCTCCAGTGCTTTGCCCCAGTAACCTCCTTTGCCCTCGCCCTTCTGCTAGGCGCTCACCTTCAGTTCCCGGTCCTGTTGCTTGAAGTCTTCATCTTCATCCGAGTCGCATTCCGGAAACTGGTACACATGGATCCCGAACTTGTCAATCTCCTCCCGTATCTGCAGTAATTGGGCAAGAGCCGTTAGACTCCAGCTCCCCTGGAGTTTTTGGCCAGGCCCCCCTTAGCTATAGAAGACTCACCCTATCCTTCAGCTTCCGGATCTCACTGGGAACCAGGCAGTCGGCTTTGGCGATGAGTGGAACGATGTTCACCTTTTCGTGCAAAGCCTTCATGAAACCCACATCCACTGGCCTCAATCTGCAGAGACAGGGTGGAGACAGGCATTGTTGGAAGGCCGCGATGCAGGGCAGGGACACCCACCCTGAGCTGGGTCTTGGGACTGCCACACACCCGTGTCCAAATGGGGAGATAAAGTACAGGCAGCAGTGCACCCGGTTGTCTTGGATGTTCTTCCGGTTGAGGCCGCTCTCATCGCGGAAATACTGCTCAAACTGCTGGTCCACATAGTCAGTGATGGGCTTCCAACTAGAGGTGGAGGAAGAATGAAGCCAGTTCCAGCCAGTTCCCAGAGCTGCTAGGCAGTGGCGGTTGGGGCAGAGAACCTGTTCCTCACCACTCCGAGTTGTTCACCGCGTCCCCAAAGCCGGGTGTGTCCACAATGGTGAGCTTCAACTTGACTCCCTTCTCCTCAATGTCAACGGTGTGTTTCAGGATCTCGACTGTCTGGTTGATCCGTTCTGCAGAGGTGGGAAAGGCCCTATATGCAGGCCATCTCCCCTTCCCTCTGGGCAGCAAGGAGCCTTATCCTTCCCCACCCTGGTGCCTTGGCCTCTGTTCTGGGCCACTCCTCCTCATCCCCAAATAGGGACCCATGCCTCAAGCAGAGTGACAGGGTGCCCTCTAGGGTTTCTCAGGGCAGGGGTGAGTGGATTGGTGAGGACTGTACCGAAGCTACTCACCCTCAGCACTCAGCAGCTTCCGGTCCTTGTACAGGTCAGTCAGAAAGAGGCTGTGGACAAGAGTAGACTTCCCCAGGCCGGACTCACCTGGCCATAAGGGACAGCGAAAGAGTCAGCTTAGATCTGGGCTGGGCTGACCCATGGCCTCAGAGGCTCCACCCAGAAGTTTGGCCACTCACCAGCCACCATGAGGGTGAAGTCGAAGCCCTTCTTCACTGACTTCCGGTGCACCTGGTTGGGCAGTGTGGCGAAGCCAACGTACTGCTTGTCGATGTCCTGAGGGCAGGGGTGGGGTTGGGGCAGGTCAGGGGCACGTCCTAGATCTTTGGTAGCAGCCCAAGGCCCTGTCTCTTATGTGGCTCAGATGAGCAAAGAGCACAGCCCCCAGCAAGGGCCATTTCATCAGCAAAAATAGGGTGAGGGCTGTAAAGCAAAGGCCGGAAGGAGGAAGGTAGATGAGGGGGTGGCAGGAAAAGGCACCCCCACCTCAGCCTCAGCAGAGACCCGAGACTGGAGTGGGGAAGAGGGAATGTCAGCCCCACAGGGGTGTCCCCCCAGGTGGATGGTGGGAGTCGGTACTGAGACTCCAGAGGTGGAAGCAGCTAGACCTCATCCCGAGAGTATCCAGGGTGGGTGGTTTGTCTGGCCCAGATCCAAGCTTGGGGGTGGTGGTTCCTACAGCAGCATCCGAGCAGGGGCTATTTATAGACTGCAGTGCCGAGCCTCCCCCGCCGCAGGGTCTGCGCTGCCTGCACCCATCTCTAGTGGACATCTGCCCTGGGAGCCCCTGCCACCTTCTCTGGTAGCCGGAGGATCCTGGCCAAGCAAGCGTGCACACATGACCCACATTCCACCCTATCTCCACACACACACCTTGAGCCGCCTCTGGGCCTGGGTGCGCGGCGACAGCAGCTGCTCCACCAGGCGGTCCTGGGGTGCTGCCAGTGAGTCCATCGTGGCGACCCTGCGGGCCCTGCCGGCCTTGTTCCGACCCTACACCGGGGTCAGGCCAGTCGGGGCCAGCGATCTCGAGAGATTCGCGCTGGGTAAATTTGCTCTTAAGCCCTCTTCTGACTCGGGTTTTGAAGACACAAGAACTGAGACCGGAAGAGGGAGCGTCGCCTACCTGGTAGGCCGCTGACCTCAGAAGTCGTGCGAGCCATTCCCCTGTCTCAGCGCAAGGACGCGAGCTGTGGCTCAGCAGCGGCTCGCGCACTGGATCCCTAGGCGGGGCTTAGCAGGCTCCCGGCAGCGGTGGTGGGGACCGCCCCGCCCGCCGTCGCCGGGAAACGGTCGCTTGGAAATTGGGCCGCAGGCGGAGCCTCGAGAAAACGGCTGCGGAGGGCAGGGCCCAGCAGAGGCGCGCGGGCGGGGGCGCCGCGTGGACCTGGAGCGTAGCCGTGGCACCCGAGGTCGGGTCCAGACCGTCGGCAGGCGAGTTGTCTGCGGTCGTAGACCGTACGCCGCGCGGCTGCCGCCCACCAGAGGGCGCTGCAGAACGCTCCGGACCCACACGCAACCGCGCGGGAACCAGCCCCGGGCAACACCTTGCTCCCTCGCACTTCACCCGAAACCCCCGAACCGTGCCATGGAGACCAAACAACCCACGGACACGCCCATCCCCACTACCTGTGGGCTCACTCTTTCCTAACATCCGCGTG